GGGGTCATTTCTGTTTAATATCTTTATCAATGATCTGGATGAATGGATCAAGGGCACCCTCAGTCAGTTTGCAAATGACACCAAGCTGGAGTGTTGATCTGCTGGAGGGAAAAACAGCTCTGCAGAGGAACCTGGACAGGTGGTATTCATACAGATGTTATTCACAGTATTCAGTGCTTGATTATCAGATGGGCTGAGGCCAATTGTATGAGGTTCAATAAAGCAAAGTGCCAAATCCTGCTCTGGGATCACCACAACCCCATGAATCGCTACAGGCTTGGAGATGAGTGACTGGAAAGTGACCCGGCAGAAAAGGAACTCAGGGTGTTGGGTGACAGCTTGATGATCATGAGCCATCAGTGTGACCAGGTGACCAAGAAGACTAAGGGCTTCCTGGCCCATAGCAGAAATAGTTGTCCAGCAGGACTATGGAAGGGATCATCCCCCTGTACTTGGCACTGGTGAGGCTGCACCTTGAATCCAGTGTTCAGTGTTGGGCCCCTCACTACAAGAAAGACATTGAGATGGTGGAGCGTGTCCAGGGGAGGGCAACAGAGTTGGTTGTCTGGAGCACAAGTCTTATGAGGACCAGCTGAGAGACCTGGGATTATTTGGTCTGGAAAAGAGAAGACTGAGAGGGGACCTTATTACCCTCTACAACTACCTGAAAGGAGGTAGTGGCAAGATGGGGGACAGTCTCTTCTCCCAAGTGACAAAACAAGACAAAATGGCCTCAAGCTGCACATGGGGAGGTTTAGATTTGGTATTAGGAAAAATTTCTTCACAGAAAAGGTTGTCAAGCCTTGGAACAGGCTGCCCAGGGAAGTGGCGGAGTCACCATCCCTGGGGCTATTTAAAAACATGTAGATGTGGGAACCTAAATGATTCTATGATTCTATAATTTCAAAAATATACAAATATTAATATGCTGTTCCTGCAGACTGACATATCTACTTACAAAGCTGTGAGTTTTAAGAAGCTGAAATTGAAGCAGAACACTGTTCCACTGAGATGATTAATGCTTTTGCATAAATTTTCTCCAGGAAAGATTTCAACTTTTTGAAAGGAGAAAGTGTTTCTAATTCAGAAATAAAGTAAAATTTTGGGATTTTAATTTTCTCCATGTGTCAAGCTTCCTAGTCTTGCAAAAACATGTATCTCACGTGGTGAAGCACAAATGCGCACTTGAATGGAATAGCATTCACATCATAGTCCTTTTCTGATGTAGCTGCTTGATAGTGTACAACAAAGATAGGTGGCATGACTTTGCTTTACTATCTATCTAGGGGTTCATCTTCTCAGTGATTCCCTGTATAGCCACATCTGATAAAGCAGATCTTCATGAAACCTATCATGGCTGTTGGTGCAAAAAAAGCCTTAAGGAAGAAGAATGGCATGAATGAGAGCACGTTGGCCCGTAAAGTGCAGCAGCCTGAGCGGTGCCTATCTCTTGCATTGCAGATCCCAGGTTCCCCTAAGAATCCCAAGGATAAAGGTATATTTGATTCCTTTGTGCCAAACGCTGAATAGCAAAGCATAACATCCAAGGCAATGTTTTTATGCCCCAGACAACACTGTTGTGCTAAAAAAGGAAAAATGTACCTGCTTGAGCTGTCAAGTGACACTGCAGATATTGAAGTGTAGGTCTGCTGAAGCTTTTTACTGGAAAGTTTTTCATTTACAGCCACTCTAAAGAAAAGAGTTCAGAAAGATGTTTTCAGAAAAGAATTAGGCTTCAGGTCCTCATTTTGTCTCTGTATAGGTGCTACACATACAGTGGCATTGTCTATATATATGTCTATGTCTATGATTATCAAGCATGAACTAGATGTCTGTAAGTCTTCATACAAAAATTGTGTTGGACTAAGAGCAATCTCTTGAATAGCATTTCAGTTAATTTACATTCAGGATAGCGTCTGAGCAGGAGGCTGCAACTAATGACTGCATTAATAGGCTTAGCACAATCAGGGTACGTGTACTTTCCTCTCCATTTGCAGAGCATCTGGTAGCAAAATTAACTGACCTTCTGTGATTCCTATGCATCGTTAGTGAGTGCAGTACCAGTCTGTCACCTCACTTGTGCCTCCTGAAAGCCAAACAGATCTACTTTTTCGTAGTCATTTGCTTTTACATACAAGGCAAAAGGTAACAGTAAGATGATATTCATAGAATCATAGAATATGCCGAATTGGAAGAGACCCGCAAGGATCATTTAGTCCAACCCTCAGCCCTGCACAGAACCATCCCCAAGAATCACATCACATGCATAAGTGTACCAACCAAACATGTCTTGAACTCTGTCAGGCTTGGTGTTGTGACCACTTCATAGAATCATAGAATTAACTGGGTTGGAAGAGACCTTCGAGATCATCAAGTCCAACCCTTGATCCCACCCCACTGTGATTACTGGATCATGGCACTCAGTGCCACATCCAGCCTCATCTTAAAAACCTCCAGGGATGGTGAATCCACCACGTCTCTGGGCAGGCCATTCCAATGCCTAATCACTCTCTCTGTAAAGAACTTCTTCCTGGGGAAGAACTTCCCTGGGGAGCCTGTTCCAGTGCCCAAGCACTCTCTGGGTGAAGAGAGTGAATATTTTTCTAATATTCACAGTATTCAATACTTGATTATCAAACTTCTGCAAACTATGGTTTAAGTTTAATATATGATGCTTCTTTCAAGCAGAAATATGGCATGACAAGGCATAATTCCTTCATGAGAATCTGAGATTGTTTCTCAGCAACAATAACATCATAAAGTAGACAGTAGCTCTGTAGCTATTCTGTCCTCATCTAAAATTTTAACCAAAACAAAAAACACAGTGTCGTGGTTTTGCCTTGGCTCAATTTACTTTTATACCCCCACATACAATTACTATTAGTTGAGAGAAGGTTTATGCAGACAAAAAGAGACTGAATTAAAAAAAAGGTATGAGTATTTATTATTAACAAACTAAAACTAAAGAATTATATTTACAACAATTCTACTTGAGTAATAGGTACTATGTATTTACAAAAGATACTTCTCCCCCCACCTCTCTTTATATCAGTCCAAGGAGGAGAAGCAGTCTTTTTCTGTTCTCAGAATTCCAGTTCTCTCTCTCTCTAGTAACTCTGCAGCACTTTCGTCGCAGTTGGAACTTCTTTATCTCTTTCTCATTCTGTGTTGGCCTCCAGGGCTGGGCCTACCCCCCTCCTGGGTTAAAACCGAAGGTTGAGGGTTACTCAGGTCCCGAAGGGTCTCCTTCCATAGGCTTGCAAGGGGACACTTGCTTACTATGGATCTTCTTCCACAGGGTTACAGGGGATAATGGTTTAAGAGTTCACCCCTGTTTCCCTATGGAGGTCCCTCCCCATGGGAGAACAGTCCTTGATTGACTTCTCGGCATGGGTCCAGTCTGGATCCCTTACTCGGATCCCAATATCCCACCTGAGCCATTTTCTGCTCCAGCGTAGGTTCTCTCTGGTACCAGCAGCACGGATTCCACACATGGATCCCAACATCCCTACCTGAACCGTTTTGTGTTCCAGCGTAGGTTCTAATACCCGTCAGGGTCATAAATCTTCAACAGCAGTAACATGGATCTCTCACTGAGATCCCAAGCTTATCTGAGCCGTCTCGCTCCAGCATAAGCATCGATCCCTTCGAGGGTCACAAAGTCTTTAACAGGACTCTGCCTCATCTGAGCCGCTTTTACTCCAGCATAAGGCTTTCTCTGTCAAAGTCACAAATCTCTGGTGCATCCACAAGCTCCTCTGTGAGCCGCATGGGGGTCTCTTCACCCCAACAAACTTCTACAGGTGGCAGGGTTTTATTTTTCAGTCTTTACCCTGTTGAAGGGAGGGAGAGCGAACAGGAGAAAAAGCAGCTCTCCCCCCTTCGAACTTTTCTTCTCTTTCCTGTGCTGCCAGCTTCGACCTTGAAAATCCTGTTATCTCATGGCTGGAATTCTTCTGCAGCGGTTTCTCGTCTAAGCAGTTCGTCTTTTAAACCTTTTTTTTTCTTCACTCTCTCACAAGAGAGAAGGGAGGTTTCAGTGCTGCACTTGCCCCCCCCCCGGCCCAAGCCGGGGGAGGAGGGGGCCTTGGCCCTCCTCGGGCCCGCAACCTTCTCTCCTACATGGCTGCTGTTCTTAATTTTAACTGCGCCACAACCTTCTCTTCCGTTTTCTTAAAGATGTAATTAGCAAAGGCGTCACTGAACTTTTTGATTGGTTTTTTTTGTCCGGAAATCACCTGGACAAAACCATCCTCAGCCCCAGAGATGGGCTGGTGGGCAAAACCACAACACACAGTACAAACATTTTCTCTGTAAATCACTTCAAAGAGCCTGCAGGAAATCATCAAACAGGTTTTCTTATGGTTTTTATTTACTAATATATATATTTATCAGTCAAGTAAGCAAATGATTCCAAGCCACTCTAGCTACATAAATCCATGAAGTAACTGGAGAACTATTTTTCTCTAGAGCAGATAAAAAACATTACTGTGAAAAAGAACAATAAAATACACCTGGCTTCCAGCAATTAGATTAAAATTAAACATCAACACGTTTATAAGGCAGGTTGCATCCACAGACTTGTTCTGGGGAGCACTTGGCAAACTCCAAATTTAAGTCTCCAGCCCAAGACATGGAAGAAGCTGCTGTATTACTGGGAAATGCTTATTTGAGCAGAGACAACAGCTAGAAAAGATTTCTGAATGCAGATTAAACTTTCAAAGCTTAAATGTTTGCCCTAGGCAATCACTTCATTTTGTAGTTGTCAAAAGGAATCTTGTTTCTCTGTTATTTCTGGAAAACAAGCAAATTCTCTGGACTGTTAACTATTGTGGTCAGCTGGCCTTGAGATGCCAACTTTTCCTTTGTCCCAAACATTATTTATTTGTTTATATTGTTTCCTGGAAGAAAAGCTATATACACATACGTACCCATCATTTGCACTGAAGTATAGGCCCTCAATTCATTCTCCTTTCAGTAACACTAGCATGGATCCTTACCTCTGCTCGATGCAACTTGTCTGCCTCAGGATAGAACTGGTAAAACTGAGGAAAGAGCAAAATCTCTGTTCGTGTGAGATCAGAATCATTCCTTCAGCTCTGCTGTTAAAATTGGAATGTAATGTATTCCAAACTTTGGGCTAAATAATGATCAGTTTTTAAGGAACCTCTTTTTCACACCTCTAAATTTCTCAGATTTTAGGTTGCATTTATCTCATATTTTCAAAGTCTGCTGGGTTGCTGGAAGGGAACATTTAGATCTAGCTTTCTTTTTGCTGTGGGTTTTTATTTCTTTCCTGGTTTTCTTCTTTTTGTTTCTTCTTGTCTCTCCTTCTTAAATAAGAAAGGTATGCAATTTCTTAGTTTAAGCATCTGATATTTTTAAAAATATGTCTACAGTTGTGAAACTCTACAAAATAGTAGTAGGCAGCCCTTCTATTAGTGACAGCAAGGAAGCCATGAGTACCAAGACAAGATCAGAAGCAAAACTGGGGGCGGAAGAAATTGGGAAGGGCAGATTGTAGGAGGGAGTAGCAGGATCAGTGACAGAAACAGACTGCAAATATTTTAAAGATCTTCACAGCCTTTCTCTGATGCCAAATGGCACAGAAAGCCTGCATCCATATTATTAAACTCTTCCTCTCCAAAACAGTGTAGCAATATGCAAATTGTCTACTGCAGGTAGTCCCTGGCTTGTGCTGGTTTCTGGGCCACACCTGGGAGAACTTATGAAACCCTTGAATCGAATATGAATTGTAGTTTACACATGCCAACCTGTGCAAGGGACTTTTCTAAAGAATTGTCAACACAGTCAGTCAAGTCTCTGGGTTCACCTCATTTATTGATACTGACATTGCAGAAATTCTGGGGCAAGGAGGCACCTGAGGGCAAATGACCATATTCCTGTTTCTATCTCCAAGTGCATATCCACCAATCTAAGACTAGGGGAGGGAGGACACAAGTGATAGATGAGGAAGTGTTTAGTGCTTAACAGCAAGTCTGGACCCCTAATATGCATTAAATTCTTTCAGAGAACCATTTCAAGCACAAAATGGGAGGTGCAAAGTCTCTGATATCCTCTCGGTCCATATCAGTGTGATTACCAGCCACTAAGGTTGAGCACATCTAATCAGCAAGCAGTGACACAGCCATCACAGCTGTGTTCCCCCAGATGGACTGATCCCTTTAAGAAAGTTGCCAGACATTACAGGAAGGTTTCACATTCACACCACATCATGGTAGTAAAAACCACTGAGGTTTGGAAAGAGGCTCTCACAGTGGCATGAGAAGTGACAGACTGAAGGCTGCTGCTGCTCTGAATAGGGAGCAAGGCTGGGGTTTCATGATACAGCAGTTTTGGAAACATTTGGGGATGTTTTAAAGCTCAGTGTCCTTAGTGAAAGCTGTTGGGTGGGTGTGACAGGGAGGCAGCACATCACAGCAGGAACTGAGGCACAGGCAGGACACAGGTGCTGGAGCTGGTGTGGCTGTGGATCACTCTGCATTGTGAAACCACACCTGAAGCTTGCTAGAGGGCAGAGACCTCTGCAGTCATCCCAGCTCTCCAGGCAAATAAAGAGTTGAAAAGTTTGCTTTCACCAAAAGATATACAGTCAGGAAGTCTACAAAAACAACATGTCTGTATGAAAAGTTCAAGCTGCACCACTGCTGTTCCCAGCTCTTGTGGTTGCACATAGGAAACAGGGCAAAGCTTGGCTATCCAAAGGCTGTGCTGGCTGCACTCCTCACCAGCAACCATCTAGAGAAATTGTTCTGCTGGACAGCACATCGCAGAGGTGGAACAGAGGATCACCTCCAATTGCTCTCTCCATGGCCACCCTCTTTATGTCATCCTTTCCCTCCCATGGCTTCATGCTAGCTGTTTGCCTGACCTATATGCAGAGCTCTCACCACCGCTCCAGTCTGTTCCTGAGCCAGTTTGATATCTCCTCTTTTGTGCTGGCAGTCTCTACTTTTTAAGGCACTCTACATTCATTTGACTATTCATTTCTTCTCCCAGTCCTCTGGAGATAGTTTATGTGGGGAGATTCTAAAGTCACATCTTCAGAAAGAGTGCTTTTAGCTGCAAGCAGCTGGGGTTTTAGCAAACAGTTGGTCCTTCAGACAACCAACACTAGATTTACTTTTTAAATTCTTTTGAGTTGAAATGAGCTCAGAATGGAACAAAGCTAATTGGCCAAAGGACAGAATGTCAGAAAAGTGGCTATGAAATGCCAAGCAAGCCTAGTTGATAGAAAGGAGAACTGTGCTACAGAAGGGCTAGAAAATAGGAGTCTGGGAATTATGAAATGACTTGTCTCCCTGTATATGCAGTAAAGGACAGCAGGCACCCCTGGGACAACTAAGATGAAACATGGGGCAAGGGTGTTCCTACCACAGGTATCTTTGCTGTGTGCTTGGGCTTTCAGCATCTGATCAAGGTCTGTTATGCCCCAGCTGGCAATTGGAGACTGGGACTATAATCACATCTCTTCCCTTCAAGATAGCTTGTTTTTCAAGGACAAACTTCAGATACTTGTGTACATGGTGGCTTGTCGATGTGCCAGCAAGTGGTTCCTGACCATCTTGAAGACGTTTCAGAGGGCAGTCAGCAGCAGCAGATGCCTTGCCTGAGACTGCAGCTGCTTTCACAATCCACAGCACAGACTTAGCATGTCAAAAATGGGTGAAGGTTTTCCTAAGAGGTGAAGAAACTGATGTTATCTACAGTGAGGGGATTTTGATTAATTAGTATTTGCTTCAGACCTCAAATGCTAGAACAGAAGAAGGAAAGTGTAAAAGCAGAAAAATCACAGGTTAATAAGCAAATCAAAGAAGCAAATACATGAAAGGCTGGGATTGGGGTCAGAAGGAGGCAAAAAATCCCACTGAGTTACCCATAGCACTCCTTTAAGCAGGATCTTGCACCACATTAATCCCTGTAGACTTTTATCAGCAGGCATTTAATTCCTCCAGTGGAAATGATAAGCCACCTCACTTGACAGTATATTACACTGCCTCCCTGTTCTCTCAGGTCAGCTTCCAAAAGCAGGAGCAGGGCTTCTGTGAAAGTGTGCTTAGGGAAGCTGCTTTTGGAAAGATGAAGACCAACATGGTTGTCAGTGCTGCCCAGCCATGCCCGGGCAGCTTCCCAGGGGCCAGATGTGCAGCCATGTGCCACCTGAACTTATCCCCACATCGCTACCCGAGACACACAGACTCTACTGCTTCCCAAAAGTTCTGGCATGCCAGGTATCATGTAGGTCAAGGAAGGGATAAGTGCCAGCAGCTTCTGTGTTGTACTCAGGAAAGCTAGAGGTAGAAAAACCATTGGCCTTCATTAGAGCAAGCCCACTGCCCTCCTTGAGCCCTGTGGGAGCTGCATCATGGTGCTCTGGGAACATTTTATGATGCTTTTACAGAGGTGGTTTCTACTCCTTAATTCACATCAATCGTGTGCATTGCAGTCTCCTATGGTTGCCAATCATTCACCTTTTCAAGGAGCAGTCAGATCCTCATGTAGCAATGTGTTGTTATGCTGCCAGCTGTTGTTGTTATTACTTAGTATTTTAATTGTTAGTGTGACGCTTTAACGTGATGAAAGTGGGATTTCCAAATAAACTCTGCAAACAGTGAACCTATTGAAAAGTATGTTGCATAAAAATGAATCCCACTTCAAAGGCCTTACTCAGATTAATACTGCTATGGCTTAGAGCAGAATTTAGTCCCATGTTATTATCTCTGGAGGAAGATTAAGGCTCAAGATGCAATTAGTTTCAGTTTAGTGAAAAGGGCAGGATAGAACAAGTATGCTACCAGTAGAGTATTTTACATAGGAGAACAAGGAACCAAAGACCTTCTCAGTTGGTGTCTGAATTTTACATCTCAAGGTTTTCTCTAAACCTTTCACAAACTAGTCATTAGACAAACAATGCCTTTGTATTTCAGGGGATTTTTTTTTTTATTCTGAAATAACCACCTCTGTAAAATTCCTGGCTTAAACACAAAAAAACTGGTATGAAAATGTTTTTAGGAATAATGAACTCTGCTTATATAAGTCCACTGATACTGAGTATAAACACTTTTCTCCAGATACAACTAATGCAATTCAAATCTTTATGTGAAATAGAGCCATTTTCCTAGTCCCGTGTATCCCCTTCAATCAGTGTGAGCAAGAGGAAATGTATGAGTCACTGGAAATGTGCTTTTTGCTCTCCAAAAAAATTGAGATTTAGGAGGCCTAAAAAGTGTGTTTAGTGTCAATATGGTGCTGTATTCTGGCCCAGCATTTCTCATTCAATAATATTCTCCAAACCCCACAATTTTCTAATGCCTTAAAGCCAGAATGAATCAGGTCTATTCTTTGTTCTTTGTCTGCTACAACCAATCGTTTCACAGTGATCAGTTCCCCTCTCTGCTTTGTGTCAAATCAAAATTAGAAAAAATCTTGAAATGTAAGAAAGATTTAAATGATTTTGCTCATATGGACTGTACACTTCTTTGGGCAGGGGCAGGGTAACACTACAGGATTGCTAAATCTTTCAGCTCTGAGTGATGACATAGTTAGGATCTCTACACATTATCATAGTCTACATGTTATACATTAAATGTTTGGTTTGCAAATCATTCTGGAGGGTATTTCTCTTTGCTTTTTGAGAACTGAACTTCATGGAATAGGCTAAGGAGAAAATAGCTTTCCCTGCTTAAAAGGAAAAAGAAAAAACATTTTGAGAAAGTTTCATTTTAGACATAGTAAATATAATAAACTTCACTGCCTGGAGCAAGTGATGCTTAAATATAACTTCTTATAGGCACTGTAGGCTGAGAACAGGCTTTGTGTTTACTAAGACAGTAACTGGTTGAGAGTAGCAAAAGCAATAAGGAGAAGAAGTCTTTATCAGAAGAATGTCCAGTTTGAAATTCAAGCCCTAGCTGCTCTAGAAGCCAGAGCTTCTCTTAGAGACTTTAAGGCCTCCAAGCACACTAATTTATGAAAGATAAAATGTTTTCCCACTGGTCCATGGAGAGCATACAGACTATTTTCTGGAGAAAATATTTTAAAAGAAAGTTCTCATTTTTCTCGGAATCACCCCTTTTCT